GGCGGCGTATGCCTGGAATCCCAGTGCTGAAAAGGCAGAGACAGATAGATTGGGCTCCCGGGCTAGCAAGCCCCGCTGAATCAGTGAAGCCCCAGGCCCTGAGGAGAGAGCCTTGCCTCAAAAACCAAGGTGGGCATTCTGAGGAACGACATCCAAGGTGGACCTATGGCCTATGTGGGTACCTGTACATGCACCACATACACAAAACAGGTCCCAAACGATCGAGTCTTCGAGTGACGGGCAGGATGATGTCATAGCACATTACCGACTGTTTACTCATCCCCATAACATTCTTATGAGCTAGGAATAATAATAAGAGTGACAGCAGCTATGATTTTATGGAGGACTCTCCTGAGTGTGTTGGATCTATTAACCTCTGTAATCTCCCAGGCAACCATTAAGAAAGGTTCTTCTGCTTAGAACTGCAGAACCGAGCGCTGGGATCAAGTGAGTGAAGGACTCAGGGCAGGCAAGGCAATGGAGACTGGGCAGGTTATTGCCTGCGCCTTTTCCGTTCTACCAAGTGCTTTTTATCCCCCTTTCTTTCTACAAGGCCTGGGGGAACAGAGTAGAGGGCGATGGCTCTCAGGCTGCCCTAGATCCGCTAAAATCTGACAAAGCCACGGAGCCCAAAGACCCTCCCACCATCTCACCCAGCTTGTCGGTCTAGAAACCTGCAGATCCCAGGGCTGCAGCACCCAAACCTTTGCCCAGCGTCAGTCAGGTCACTTAGGGCCAGGCTCAGATCTAGGGATCCTGGTTCTTCCTCCCCATCGGTCCCCCTAGTCACCACCAGCACCTGCCTTAGGCAGTCTGATCCAGTTCCAGTTAACTTCTCAAGGCGGGTAGCTGCAGCAAGAGACAACAGCCTCAAGTGGAAGCCGCTGGACCGGTCCAACCAGACAGAAGCCGCAGCCTCTCCTCACTCAAAAAGGGGAGAAGCCTGAGGGTGGCTTTTCAAACAAAAGGTCCCGAGGGAGCAAGGACGCAAGCCCTGGGAAACCCCCTCACGCTAGCAGTACACCCCAGTCTGGCCACCAGAAAGAGGATGCCTGAACCCAGACATCCACAGACGAGGGCTCCCTGCTGGACCAGACAGCACAGGTCACATGACGCTCTAAGTGCCACGCTGATGGTTGGGGGCACTTCCTATTCAAGAGAGGAAACCAGATCATCAGGGTGAAGGTAGCTGCTTGGTCCCAGAGGAATGGAGGAGAGCTGAGCGGCTCCTCCTAACTGCAGCCACAGCACACCCTGGATGGGCCTTCAGGTCCTCACCTCCCCCAGACAACGGCTTCCTCTTTTTTTTTTTTTTTTTTTTTTGGGTGTTTTGAGACAGGGTTTCTTTGTGTAGCCCTGGCTATCCTGCAACTAGCTCTGTAGGCCAGGCTAGCCTCGACTTCATAGAGATCTGCCTGCCTCTGCCTCCCCGAGTGCTGGGCTCACAGCTCCGGATATATTTACTGGAGATGATGCTTAGCCTTGCACCAAGAGAGGCATATGCTTTGGCCTCACTCTCAAATCTCTTAAGGTGTAGGAGACAGAGCAGAACAGAGGCATGTTCTCTCTCCTAAAAACTCCCTTCTGCTGCAGCCAGACTGCCCAGAGTCCCATGGACACCCACTCACTTCACACCTCTGTTATCTGCGCTCACGGTGTTCCATCTGCTCCCTTCCACTGCAGGAACCCACCCACAGGCAGCCCACACTGCAGCGCCCAGCTTCAGCCTTCCTGCCTGGTGGAACCCACAGGCACCACTCCCTTCCTAACCTCCATTAGCTACAGCAGCTCCCATGGAGTCCAGCATCTCTCCTCAGCTGCCTCGGGCACATCTTACAGGGAGAAGGACCACAAGACCTTTACTGGGAGCAGGGGTACACCGTCGTCCGTCCATTCTATCTGGAGAGTGCTTTACCAAGTAGTTTCAGATGTTATCTCCTTTTGGCAATAGCTCTTTATTGCCCAGGTCCGTGTCTTGCTTCCTCAACTAGATCAGAGACTTCTATGGGCAGGAAAGAGTAGAGTCACTAAAGAGTAATGTCGCTAAAATGCCTAGCATGGTCCTTCCTGGGAATACTCCATTACATTACCAAATGAGATAGTCTTATCGGGAAACTGCAGGAACCTTAAGGCTCTGGCTGCTCTGCCCCCCACTAACCCTCACCTGGGAGCATGGCTGCAAGGAAAGAATGTATGGTACAGACCTAGCTTCAGGGCTGAAAGATGGAGAGGACATCGGTGCCTCAGTCTCCCCGGCTGGCTCTCTCATGGAATGTCTCGGGCTCTTATGTAGAATATACAAGAAATTATCAAAGAACCAGCCAAGGTGATATCAGCATGGGCCAAGAATCTGAACTCTTGTCTTAGCAGCAATCGGTGAATTGCCTTGTTTTCTCCATTCGTGAGACAAACGAAACAAATGAGGAAGGATGCCTAGCTCAGTATCCGGTATGGAATCTCCCAAGCCTAGCATACAGAGCACACACGTTTTCTTAATGGATACATTGTGAATCTGAGCTGGCAGCCCCGTTTCCTCGGCTCTTTGTCTTCTGGCTGCCCCTTCCTTGGGAAACTTTCCAAATCACCTAAGGAAACAGCTTCTCTGGACCATCCAATTCTTTCCCTTCCATTGTAGTTAATGCTGGAAAGCATGGCCAAGACGGGCAGAAGCACAGGCCTTCTGTCAGCTGTAAATAAGAAAGCACTTAAGAAACCCAGTGGGGCAGATCTGAAGGGCTGGAGTGAGGGAAGACAGATTTCTTTGTCTTCTGTGGACTTCAGAATCCTGAGGCGTCTGTGCATCATGTGGAAAGAGGTATCTGGCCATCTTCTGATGGCAGAGGACAAACTCCAGGAATAGGTTCTAGGCCAATATACCAAGGCTGGGATAGTAGTACTCTACCCAAGTATACCAAGCACCTCACTGGTTCACCACTGCCCCTGAATAGTGTACTCCAGAGGGTTTCCAGGAAGTCCCGTGCTCTATCTATGTTCTACCAGCTGGAAGAAGCCGGCCGAGGGAGGTTAGGAGGCAGAAAAACAAGGGTTGGTGGTTAGAGGTGTGGAGTGAGGGATGGTTCTCTTTCATGGAAAGCACAGCCTCTGCAGGGCCACTTGGTACTTCGGAAACAGAGATTCCTTCGTTCCTCTGCTGAAGAAGGGGGCATATGTCTCCTGGGGGGAGGCCAACTCCTCACACACTAGGCAGGAGTCCTGAGGTCTTCATTAGTGATGGGAACTAGTCAGGCCCTCAAAGGGAAAACTCCAGGTCACTCCTAGGACTTGTAACATGACTGCAGGGCAAAACACACACACACACACACACACACACACACACACACACCTTGGCTCTACACTGCAGACAGTCCCACAGCCCCTGGCCTCAGACCCCTTGTCAAGGATAGTCAGGGCAAGTTTCCATAGAAGGAACCTGTTGCCCTTTGCCCCCAGCCTGCAAGCTCTCTCAGCGCCCATCTGGCTCCTCAGCCACTCCCTGCCTCACTCCCATGACTTTGCCCAGCCCCTGCCTCATCTCCGAGGGCTCCAGAGAGGCAGGGCAACCCTCTCCCAGGCAACACTCAGCCCCTGTCCCATCCATCTCTCCAAAACAATTCTTATTCGAACAGTGGTCCAACCCAAGCTCCCGGATCTCTTAGGAGCTGGCTTTGGTGCCCTGGAGAAATACGGACACGTTTGTTCTCTGGCTCCAAGTGACTTGATGAGAGCAAAGCACACGCGGAGACCCTAAGAGCTCAATAGGACGGACAAACAGCACTCAGCCAGTGCCACACTCAAGTAAGTGCTTCACAAACGTTCATTCATTCAATCTATACGACACCTCCGGAAGGTCTCGTTACAGACCCATTGAACAGACGAGACACTGCAGCTCAGAAGTGTAAGTTACAGTCAAGGCTGTCCCCAAAGGAGGGCTCCAGGTGTGCCTGAGAATGCTGGCCTCTTACCTACAAGCATGGCTCTGCTCCTCCTGGCTGCAACTACCCTCACCTTCCCTCTTGGCAAGGCGCATGTGTTGGGGGAGGAGTGTGAAGAGGGGGAGAGAGACTCCCTAAGAGGAAGCCAAGAGCTGGAGCCCTCCCTGAAGGCAGCAGGATTCCTACTGGATGATCAGGCAGCTGGCAGGTAGTTTCTGCCAGGAGCCATGAGAAGGCTACTTCAGAGGCGACCAAGTCCGGTACCCTGGAATCAGATATGGGTGGAGTGCCCTCAAGTCAGTCCTCCTGGGAGAGAGGGCCTTCCCTTGACTATGAAGGAGAGACCACTGACTCACTCTCAAAATAGTGACCCTCCTGGCCTTGCCAGGGTGTCACCAGGCCTTTGTCTCGGTGTCCGGTATGTCCTCTCTACTTGCTGACCCCCTGGTCGACATGAACATTCCCGATCTTCCTTCACCCTCCTTCAAAACAGCCGCTACCTTCCCCCACATCCCCCTGCCTCTGCACCCTTGTATCTCTGCCCTCCTCCAGGTAGGTGTCTTGTGGCTTTACCTTCACAACTGCCCTGGAAACTCCGTCCCTTTGATCAGTGTCTCCCTCTGCCCACTCCCATCCTGGCTCCACATCGAATCACCCCCAAACTAAGGGTTACCTCAGTGACTTATTGACGGGTCTCCACCCCGACCCCCTTTTCCTCCTCTCTTCATCTGGAGCTGTGGTTATATCACTTCACAGGCAGTGAGTCTCCTGCCCCAGCTCGGGGTACTCTGGCCTACACCGGTCTCTGTCTTCTCAGGTTGGAGGGGGAAGGCTGAACTCCCACCCCTAGTTCCTGGTTGCAGGCAGCATGTACCCCTCACCTGCAGGAACCGAGGTTCAGGGCCCCAGTCCTGGGACCTCTCACCCTTAGGTGTACTCCCTCTCCCTAGCCTCCCGCGCCACCCACCGTCTCTACCATGAGGGGCGCACAATCCCTCCCGGGCTGGGGATGAAGAATCCGCCACCGGGAAGGGAGGATGGGGGCGCCCCCGGGCCACCGCCCCTTACCGATGGTGGAGATGTGCGAGGAGTGGAACTCGTTGTCGGTGAAGCGGCACAGCAGGCAGGTCTTGCCCACCCCAGAGTCCCCAATCAGCAGCAGCCGGAACAGCACATCGTACTGCTTCGCCATGGCAGGGACTCAAGGGGGCCCGCGGGTGGCGGGCGGGCGGCGGCGGGCTCAGCCCCGCTCAGCCTCTGCCATCGCGGCCGGTGGCGAGAAAGAAG